TGAGCTGTGATGCCATGGCACTCTACCCAGGAGGACAGCTTGAGGTTGGCTCAAAAAAAAAAAAAAAGACAATAGATGATGTCGAAACTATTTTAAATTGCACACGAACTTTACATCCACCATGTGTATAGTGCAGGTATACTTCTTAAGATAAGGACCTTTGGTATGTAGTGCCAGAGAAATTGGACCAAATTTTCATTTCAGAAACTCCAGTGGAAAATATCTACATTTAGGCTCAGCGCCTGTGGCTCAAGTGGCTAAGGTGCCTGCCACATACACCTAGGGTGGCGGGTTTGAATCCAGCCTGGGCCCACCAAACAACAATGACGACTGCAACCAAAGAATGGCCAGGTGTTGTGGCGGGTGCCTGTGGTCCCAGCTACTTGGGAGGCTAAGGTGGGACACTCGCTTGAGCCCAGGAGTTGGAGGTTGCTGTGAGCTTTGATGCCACGACACTCTACCCAGGGGGACAGCTTGAGGCTCTGTCTCAAAAAAAAAAAAAACATAAAAAATAATAATAATAAAAGAAAACGTCTACATTTAGCTAACTAATAAAGACACTTGTGAAACTTTTTGCTTTGCTTTTGGTCTGATGGTTCTATTTCTCAATTACTTTTGGCTCATAATCCCCACTGGTTTTTCTGTTCTGTGCTCTGCGTAGAGTATTGGTTCTTAAGCGCCATCACGCGTCCCTGCGGGAAGCTCTTGTGAGGACCACTGCAGACCCTCCTTCCAGGCTGCGCTAGACGGCTTCCCTGGAATAGGAAGAATTAATGACTCTGCTTCTTCTTTGTAGCGTTTTTATTCTGTTCCAACATAACAAAGGAGACTTGGACTCAGATCTGTTTAAAGTATCTATTTACTCACAATTGTTGGCAAATTATTTTTAAGTGCCTGAGATCCAGACAACGGGTGATGGCAGAGAGCTAAAGAGATAGGAGCTGTGAATGTGGCGCCTGACGCCCTGCCTTCTCTTCCCAGCCCTCCTGGTTCCTGGTTTCTGTGGTCTTGGAGACTCAGTTAGTTTTTCTCAGCTTGGCTTGTACCATTTGTAAAATATGGGCAATTCTTTTTGTCTTTGTTTTCCTTCGAGGGTCCTACGATGTAAAAATCCTCTCATGCGATTGCTAGCTGTGAGAATGCTTTGCTCTCCCTAGAAACCTTCTGAGGGAGACAGACCATTGCTGGGCACTAGGAACAGCTTATTCGGAGGTCCTGGTCCTTCTCGTGCACACAGCTGACCAAAATTCAAAGCAAAAAGTTTTGCACGCATTTTTATTAGTTAGCCAGAGGTAGCTATGAGTCGTAGCCCAGTTCCCCCCAACCATTTCTCTGTTCTCTGCAGGACTTCCTCATGGAAACTTTTATCATGTTTAAGGATCTGATTGGAAAGCACGTCTATGCCAAAGATTGGATGGTCATGAACATGACCCAGAGCAGGTAGGACGCCCCTGAACTTGCCTGAATTCTCGGGCCTTTTGGGTGAACTGTGGGAAGTGCCTCAGATCCATCGTCTGTAAAGTAAGCGTCTTTCTGCCCCCACCGTCCCTGTGTACGTGCTCGCAGTCTCAATTTCCTGGGCTGCACACGTGCTCTGGCGTGGACTCTCTGCTCTCTTCTCTCTAGTCTGGCCTCCCCGGTGTGCTCATATTAACCGGCAACATCCGCTCTCCAGGGCACCTCTCACGGGACCTACTTCATCCTGACGTCCAAAACCTACCCTGATTTTCCAGATGCATCCAGATGCATTTCTAGATTTTTTAGCTGAGTCTTCCACTGTTTCCTCATGTGTACACCCCGTGCTCCGGCTGAGCTGGCCTCTGCCCGGTCCCTGGACACCTGCTCTGCTTTGCCTCACACCACGTCTCCCCTTTGCAGTGTCTTCCCATCATTTCCAGCCATTCCATGAAGGTCCTTCTGACCTGGCTGTCATCTTCTCTTCCTTTGATTTCCCAGACCCCTTGAAAGCCTCTCATAGAACCTTTTCCATATTCTGTATCAGGTCATGGTTAGATAATGATTTGCATGTTGTGAATCCTGCTCCCTCCAGCTCCCCACCGAGCTATAAATAAAACCAGGAACTCTCTTTCAACACAGCACCTAGGCCAGCACTTTACAGTCGTTGGCCCATAGCAAATATTTGCTGAATAGAAGTGAAATGAAATGAATATACCTGATGTTAAAAGAGCTTTAGATTTTTTTTTTTTTTTGAGACAGAGTCTCATTTTGTCGCCCTTGGTAGAGTGCTGTGGCATCATAGCTCACAGCAACCTCAAACTCTTGTGCTCAAGTGATTCTCTTGCCTCGGTTTTTTATTTTTAGTAGAGGCGAGGTCTCACTCTTGCTCAGGTTGGTCTTGAACTTCTGAGCTCCAGCGATCCACCTGCCTCCACTTGCCAGGGTACTAGAATTACATGTGTGACCACCGCACCCAGCCAGCTTTAGAATTTTTAATGAGCTAAAGTCAGCTATAGTGGCGCACATATATAGTCCTAGCTACTTAAGAGGCTGAGGCAGGAGGATTGTTTGAGCTCAGGAGTTTGAGGCTGCAGTGACCCATGATCAAGCCATTGCACCCCATAGGCCAGGGGTCCTCAAAGTTTTTAAACAGGGGGCCAGTTCACTGTCCTTCAGACCGTTGGAGGGCTGGACTACGGGCCCCAGGATGAGTCGGCTGCTAAGCAGGACAGGCAGCGGTGGCAAAAACACCCGGTGAGCCAGATAAAATGTCCTAGGCCAGCTGCATGTGGCCCGTGGGCCGTAGTTTGAGGACGCCTGCCATAGGCAACAGAGAATTTTTAAGGAGCCTAAGTCAAATCCTTATCATAAGCATTATTTTTAACTCTACACAATACCTGATTCTGAGGAATTCTACCCTGATACCCAATTAGCAAATCTTTCCCATCAATGTGCTGATGAGAGAAAAAATTATATCCGATATCCTGGGGCCTAAAGACATAAGTATCATATTGCTGTGGTCCGAGAGTCAGGCGGCCTTCATTTACCTACCCTCTGATGTGGCCCTGAGTGGCTCGTACGGTCAGTTCCTGGAACTGAATGTCTCTGCCCTCGTCTGCTCTGTTTCTGGTCTCTGAGGACATTGATGGATCATAAGGTCTGATGTTGCCAAGTCCAGGTTTAGGTCAGTTTGGTTTAGTTTTTAACACAAGTGGAAAAATGTTCCAAGGGGCATGAAGTTTCTTTCTTGCATCTGATATTTTCCTCCCTAGAGTCTTTCTCCGGGCTATAAACCAGTTTGCTGAAGTTCTCACAAAACGCTTCATGGACCAGGCAAGCTTTGAACTTCAGGTAAGCACATGACTTTCCTAGATGTTCCTGCCGTTCTCAGCCCCGTGGAGAGAACCATAGCACTGGATGTCACCTCTGATTTCATCATTTTCAAATGAAAAAAAGTTTTCTTGTTTTTTCTTCCTGAATCATATACTCCTGTCTCACTGTCCTCCCAACACAATAAAATAGGCTTTTTTCTTCCTTTCTGTAAAAGTAATACACCTTTTAAAAAATGTTGAAAAGTAATAACAGAAGATAGGGCTAAGCAAAAAGGAGAAAATAAAAAATACAAATAGTCCTTTGTAATAATCCTTTAATAAACTTTGTAATAATCCAAATAATCCTTTATATAAATATGTGGTACAGAAATACAAGGGCGGTGCCTGTGGCTCAGTGAGTAGGACGCTGGCCCCATATACCGAGGATGGCAGGTTCACTGGCCCTGGCCAAACTGCAACAAAAAAATAGCCTGATGTTGTGGCAGGTGCCTATAGTCTCAGCTACTCAGGAGGCTGAGGCAAGATAATTGCCTAAGCCCAGGAGTTAGAGGTTGCTGTGAGCTATGATGACACAGCACTCTACTGAGGGCAGTAAAGTGAGACTCCATCTCTACACAAAACACACACACACACATATATATATATGGCGCCTGTGGCTCAAGGAGTAGGGCTCCAGCCCCATATACTGGAGGTGGCAGTGGGTTTAAACCCAGCCCCGGCCAAAAACTGCAAAAAAACCCCAAACAATTATACATACAGGTGTGTAGTTATAAACAGACACAGATAACTCTTATACCTACACAAGTTTGGTTCTAAAGAGTAGTTGGTGTGCATAATATTTGGGACATTCAAACTTACTGCAAAATAGGTGACCACTAGCTCTGTCTGCTTTCACTCATTCATCCATCCCATGCTAGCGTATTTGTGTGCACAGGGCACCCTGCTCTGGGCCCCGGTGAAGGCAGACAGGTTCCTGCCCACATGGAGCTTACCTGCCAGAGTAGTGTACAGTTTTTTGATGATGTACTTTTTCTGTGTCATGTGTTTTCATGTCTGTGGTGCTTCTAAAGTGGAGATTCGTAAATTTGCATATGTACAAATATGAATACCCATACGTATATGTGTGTACATCGGTATATTTGCCAAAGTGGAATTGAGCTGGGTAGGTCTTTGGAAACCTGTTAGTTTATTTACTTTTTAAATAGTCTTTGATCTTTTCAGTGATGTTGAATATTTTCATGATATTTTTAGTGGCCAGCTAAACTCTGCTACGTGCCTGGCTCATGATTTATTTAACCAAATTCTTCACATGAACGTTTAAGTTGTTTTCATTTTCTGTTATGTTCGATAGCACTGTGTGGCCCTCCTTATTTGAAATATTTTAAAATATCCGTGGTTATTTTTCAGGCTAAAGTCCTGAAAGCATTTACTGTCTCAAAGTTTGGCCAAATTTTAGGGCTTTTGCTACACGTTGCCAAACTACCTACTATAAATAGGTATACTTCTTGGCAGCAGTTTTTCTTTATCCCTAGAGTAAAGAAAAATACAATTATTTGGATTTTTTTGAAAAGTTCAATAGTAAGTCCCAAAACTTTCAGGACCGAGTAAACCGAAACCTAAGAAAAAGAAGTCTTATTTTTTTGTCAGTCTCTGGTTATTGACTTTCTGCCATGTGACACTGTTTCATTCTGACCCTTATTAATGTTATTTTCCATTCCTTTTTCCCACACAATTAATTCTGAACAGCTCTGGAACAATTACTTCCATTTGGCAGTAGCATTTCTCACCCACGAATCTCTTCAGCTTGAAACCTTCTCAGAAGCCAAGCGCAACAAAATTGTAAAAAAGTAAGTGTCCTTTTAACCTCGTTTAAGATTAGGAAGGGAATTCTTATTCTTCTGTTGGGAGCAATGTTTTTTGGTATCATAGAAATTACTGTTCAGTGACTGCCCATGTTGTTAGAGAGGTAGATTTTTAAGTAACTACTTCATAGATTTCAAATTCCCCCAGATCTCCATCTCTGTTCTCAAGGCCCCCTTTATCTTTCCATCAGCCCCCACCTTTTTATGAAATTTACTGGAGAGGAGCTTCAGCTACCTGCACACTTGTCCCCATAGCACCACTGCACCCTCTGCTGGCAGCTCCTCCAAATTGCAGGCATAGTGCCCCCTTACTCCTTTAGCACTATTGCTCTGTTTCCCTGTCACTTCAGAGAAGTTGAGACTCAAACATAAGCTCAAAATGCCCTCCAGAATGTCAAAATGGAATTATATGCAAGACTGATGGGAAGTTTAGGGAAGCTTTCCATTGCTGTCATCTCAGATCTGTTTCAGAGTTAACTTGAAGAGTCTACAACTTGAGAAATATGTTATTTTAAAGACTTTGAAATTTTAGTTTGGTTCCCCTTGCTGGGATATCTGGGATTCTAGACGAATCATTTTGCATCCTTGTACCTCTGGTTGCTCCCTGAGAGAGGCTTTTAGGTAGCAAAGAGATTGAAAATGAGTAACTATGCTTTAAAAGATAAAAGCATAAGGGGCAGTGCCTATGGCTCAAAGGAGTAAAGCGCCGGCCCCATATGCTGGAGGTAGTGGGTTCAAATCCAGCCCTGGCAAAAAACTGAAAAAAAGAAAAAGATAAAGTAAAATTGTAGATTTCTTTGAGTGTTGAGTATTGAGAGACACTGCTTTTAAGATGGATACCTTGATTTCATTCTTTAGAAAATCTTGGCAATATAACTTCTTTAAAGGACATGTTTGATTTTGGTTAAACAACCAATAAGTGAGGATAGTTGAATGCCAGCTCTTATCAATAAAATGGCCCGTTAGGGTTAGTGGTTCCATTTTTGGTCTCTAGGACTGAATCCAACCCATATAACAGTATGAATGTATGCATCTGGGCAAAGATAAAACTTAGAAAATAAAATCTTACTATATTAGGCTGTAGCAATGTGAATAGATTTTTCAAACATTCTCTTATTTTTATATAGAAGTAGCATCAATAGTACTTTATCATTTAGTGTCCATTATGCCCAAGACCTTGACTACATAGGTTTACATAATATTAGTAATTAAATTAGGTTGAGTATTTTTGTTAAGATGGCATCGTAAGAGAGGTTTTTAAATGTGATCTTTTCAATGCTGGCTTATGAGGGCATTTCCCCAAAAAGGAGTTTGGAAAGACTGTCCAGGGCGATGTTAGTGTGAGAGGATAAGGGAAAGTAGTGGTTGCAGGGTGAGTTACAGGCCGTTGTTAGCATTCCCTGGGAAGACCCGCAGCGTCAGCATCTTTCGACTCACCTCATTTCCAATTGTCCAACCCCCCAGCCTCTGCTGTGGTCTATGATGTGGGGTTGTCTCAGGACTAAGTATTATTTAAGAGATTTCCAGGTGATTCTGATTCACTTTCACCCAAGAATCACTGTCTAGACCAGTGATTTTTCAACCAGTGTGCTGGGAGAGGATCTTAGGTGGGCTGCAAACATTTTTAACGATACTTAATTAAATTTTTTGAGAAAGACATTCAAAGCACAGCAAGCATATTCTTTACTTCACTCTTTTTTTTTTTTTTTTTTTTTAGATGAACATAATTGAAGTGTGCCACAGAAGTTTAACTATAGGTTCAAGTGTGCCATGAGACAAAAAAGGCTGAAAAACACTGGTCTAAGCTAACGTTTCTCTGCTCTTTTTCCCATTATCAACTCCAACAAAAGGCCCTTTCAGACACTGTTTTGCTAATGAGACTCCACTGTGAAAGTCTAATGCCACTGACGGACCATGCATCATTTGATGCCATGTGCCTTTCTGTGCCACGTACATACAAACACTGAAGTGCTTTTGCCCCCAAGGATCAATTTTTACCCCTTTGTGGACAATCCCACCCCCATTGACAGTGAAGGGACTAAAGCTTTCCAATGTGAGTCCTCTGCAGAATGGATGCGTATTACCCAAATCGGAGTGTATAAGTCAACTTGCTTGTTAGTCATCAGGCACAGTGCTATGAAAATCATTCCCCACTCATCTTCCTCTTCATGAGTGTTTATGTGTTTTTTTGTTTGTTGGTTTTTTGAGACAGAGTCTCACTATGTCACCCTGATAGAGTGCTGCGGCAACACAGCTCACAGCAACCGCAAACTCTGGGGCTTCACTGATTCTCTTGCCTCAGCCTCCTCCCAAGTAGCTGGGACTACAGGTGCTTGCCACAAAGCCTAGCTATTTTTTTGTTGCAGTTGTCATTGTTGTTTAGCAGGCCTGGGACAGGTTCAAACCTGCCAGCCTTGATGTATGTGGCTGGCACCGTAACCACTGTGCTATGGGCACCAAGCCAGGGTGTTTATGTTTTGCTTGGCTATTTTTTTATTTCCCAGCAACCAACCAAAGTATTTCTCCCTGTTCTCCCTTCAGTTAGTTTGTTAATCTCATCTCTGGTTATTTTTCAGTGTTTGGCTTCTCGTGCCCATAAAGTGCCCTGTCCTGTGCATGGCTCAGTTTTCTTTGGGGGCTTGTTTAGGTACTAACCTTATCTCTTACACTGAACTTGCCTTAAAAGTGACCCAGAGGGACGCAGGCTGCTGTCATGCCTTTCATCCCTGTGTTATGTGCAACTTGGTTCCACTGCAAATCCTTTTCCTCATTTCTGGTCTTCTTCCTAGATACGGGGACATGAGAAAAGACATTGGCTTTAGGATCCGGGACATGTGGTATAACCTGGGTGAGTGTCTGACCTGCCCCTATGACTGCTGTGGGATAAGCATCTCATGGTGAATTATTTTTTTTTGTTTTTAATTTTACTCCAAATCATCCTGAGATTAATTTGTCAGTAAAGTGAAAGTCGATTTGTGGGTTTCCCACCCTTGTCCCAACGGGGACATTGATAAGCATTATTACTTTTGCATCCACGTGTCGTCAGAATACAGTATTTACTCACTGACTTCTGAATTAAGTTGATTTTTCCCATATAAATTTTTCTTTTCTTATGGGCCCCAGGGAGGAAGCTTATAACACTTACCATGAAATGATTCTTCAGTGTCCTCATTTACTTTCATTTCAGGTCCCCACAAAATCAAATTCATCCCCTCCATGGTGGGCCCCATCCTGGAAGTCACTCTGACCCCTGAAGTTGAGCTCCAGAAAGCCACAATCCCCATTTTCTTTGATATGATGCAGTGTGAGTTCAATTTCAGTGGAAATGGAAATTTCCATATGGTAAGACTCTGTAATCTCCAAAATGCACATATAGTCACCTCTTACTTGGCTTTTTTTTTTTTCTATGTAGAGAAGCAATAGTGTGAATAATATAAATCAAAGCTGGTCTAAAAAATGAGACCTAACACTTTTTATGTCTTATTTTGTAAAGCAGTTAAATCTGTAATCACATATTCAAGCCTAGAGCCTAGAAGAAATCTCTCTGTTAGTTTGTCTTTCCTGAAGCAACACTTTGTCTTTGGCTAATTAAAAGTTAACTTCATGCATTTTAATCGCGTTTCACTGTCACTAAGGGAATAATGGAGTGAATTGAATAAAAACCCTGCTGGGCTCGAGGCCTGTAGCTCAGTGAGCAGGGCGCCGGCCACATACACAGAAGCTGGTGGGTTCAAGCCCAGCCCAGGCCTTCTAAACAACAATGACAGCTGCAACCAAAAAAACAGCTGGATGTTGTGGCAGGTGCCTGTAGTCCCAGCTACTTGGGATGCTGAGGCAAAAGAATCACTTAAGCCCAAGACTTTGAGGTTGCTGTGAGCTGTGATGCTATGGCAATCTACCCAGGCCAACATAGTCAGACTATGTCTTGAAAAAAAAACAATAAAAACCCCTATCTGTTCTAGTAAGCTAGGGAGTGATGCTGTGGACTGAGGTCTAAAGCATTATTCTAGTTTTGGGAACTTGGTTCTTACACACCGTCTCTAAGCCTTAGTTTTTTTTTTTTTTTTTTTTTAATCAGCACAATGTATTATTAAAAGGAAGACTTTGGATCTTTGAAGCTTTGCAAACCAAGGCTTGTGCAAGAAACAAAAATAAAATAGAAAATTAGCATCATTAAGCTATTTTTATATGCATAGTTATAACAGAAAGTAATGTTTTACTTTTTTTTGGTAAATATAAAAGCAAAAGACCAAGTTACAGGAGACCACTTTGGAAAGCTTTGATGGGGAGGGCCTTGGTACCCCAGCCATGAATGACTCCAAGTATAAGCCTCCCTATATATGTTGGAAACAGTTCACAAGTCAGCACAGGGTTGGGCCAAACCCGGAAAGGCTGACTGTGTCCCGTTCTAAGCCAGCGACCTTGTGCTGTGAGATTCTCACTCTGCTTTCAGTTTGAGAATGAGCTGATCACGAAGCTGGACCAGGAGGTGGAAGGGGGCAGAGGAGATGAACAGTACAAGGTTCTGCTGGAGAAACTGTGAGTATTTCGGAAACAAAACCTCGACTCGGTGGCATCATTCAGTAATGGAGAAAAACAGGGCCTTGCAGCACCAGTAGAAGGGCCAAGTAACCTCAGTGCCACTGGGGCCACCCCACCGTGGCCCTTGGTGTTGTTAATGGAGGGGACACCATTTGCTGTTGACACCGTTTATCTGACACAAGTCAAACGCTCTTGTTTTCCTGGCCAGCCCTACTCTGAAGAAAACAGCAAATGGAGGAAAGAAGGAGGCTCGGTGCCTGTGGCTCAAGTGGCTAAGGCACCAGCCACATACACCTAAGGTGGTGGGTTCGAATCCAGCCTGGCCCTGTCAAACAACAATGATGGCTGCAACCAAAAAATAGCCAGGCATTCTAGCGGACACCTGTAGTCCCAGCTACTTGGGAGGCGGAGGCAGGAGAATCGCTTGAGCCCAGGAGTTGGAGGTTGCTGTGAGCTGTGATGCTACAGCACTCTACCCAGGGCGACAACTTGAGGCTCTGTCTCAAAAAAAAAAAAAGAGGAAAGGAGGAAATATACAGAATGCTGGCATTTGACCCAGGGTTGGAAGTTTTGAACTTCAGCCAAAGCGTTAGCACCTCTAATTATGGCTTCACAGAGACAAGTTAAAGGGAAAAAAATAGTTCAAGGTCCACTTGGTATATAAAAATACCTTATGGCCCACAGCAGTGATCTTCAGCCCCCCCTTCCCACCTCCAAACCCCCCTCTTTCCCCCTTTCCTCCTCTGCACTCATGGAGCAGCAGAGCATCAGCCTGGTGAGAAGTGGCACTCAGGTGTTGGCCTCGGAGACGGACGAGCTGCCAGCCCACTTTCACCAAGTCCCGGGCGTCTGGCTTTTGACCAGAGATTCAACCCATTAAACACCTCATTTTTTCCCCCTATCTCCCAAAATAGTATCTATTTTTTGGTATTGTCGTGAGGATTAAATAAGACGACCCCTTAACGTAGCGTCTTTCTGGAGTTTGTGTGTAATAAACGTCATCTGCTCTAGTGTTCGTGGTCATCACTGTATCCGAGTTACACACATCTGACTGACATACGGCTCCACTTACGAGTGGAGGCTACTATAGGAAATAGGTAAATGTACCTGTTTCAACTTACATATAAATTTAAGAACAAGGCTGCAGAGCCTGTGTCATCCTTAATTTGCAGACTGGCTGGATTCCCATCATTGGGTGTCAGGAACCAGTATCCAGGATACTCAAGAAGAGAATTAAATTGATAAATTGATGAATAGCCTGTATTTTAAAGAACCAGAAGTCTTTAAAAAATTTTTTTCAATGATAATAAGACCTTTTGGTGGACTTTTTGCAGTTTTTTGCCGGGCTGGGTTTGAACCTACCACCTCCAGTATATGGGGCCAGCGCCCTACTCCTCTGAGCCACAGGTGCTGCCCCTTTTTGGTGGACTTTTTAGGATATTTCCATTAGGTCTCTCTGTTTGTAAACCTCCCAGCTTATAGCTGATCCTGTATGTAAGCAAATGAAGTTATACGCATGCGTGCACACAGACAACTATATTTACACATGCTAAGCTACTAGTTTTTTTTTTTAGAGACAGAGTCTCACTTTATCGCCCTCGGTAGAGTACCGTGGTGTCACAGCTCACAGCAACCTCCAATCCTGGGCTTACGTGATTCTCTTGCCTCAGCCTCCCAAGTAGCTGGGACTATAGGCGCTCGCCACAATGACTGACTATTTTTTTGTTGCAGTTTGGCCGGGGCTGGGTTTGAACCCACCACCCTCAGTATATGGGGCCAGTGCCCTAACACTGAGCCACAGGTGCTGCCCACTAAGCTAACTCTTTTAAAAAAAAATCCCACAGCTGATTTTTCACATAAAGATCCTACTTTGCTTTCCTGTGTCCTTGTGGTTCACTAGCTCAGAAAAATACAACTGCACAAGTCTCCAAAAGTCTGGACTAATTTTTAATTTTTCGTATCCATTTGTTTCTCTCTTTTCCCAAGTTTTTTTAAGAAGCCCCAGAATTTTGCTCTATATGGGTCCAAAAGGACAGGATTTAGATCAAACATTTAGCTTCAATTTGCTTATTTATAAATACACTCTTTTTTTTTTTATCTCAAAATAACTTTTATCTAAAGAGCCACATGTCTGGAGATGTGCTGGGTTCCTCTCGACTGGGTATCAACCCCCAAGGCTTTCCCGACTGCCCAGAAGATGCCCTGAGTTCCAGGTCTTAGGGAGAAGAAAGACGTAGGAAGATGGTCTCATACAACTGCATTAGAACTTTCGTACAGCCAGGTTTTCGTTTCTGTGATGCTGACTGCAAAAAACAGAAACACCAACAGATGTTCAAAAAGAGGACCTTGTGGGCTGGGATTGTCAGGGATGGTGGAACTAGAGCCAAGCCTTAAAAAAAAAATGCAGAACAGCAAAGGTGGAGGTGCCAGGCTAGGATGGCATCCAACAGGGTGTGTGTTGGCTTGTCCGGCACCCAGGGTCTCCTGTGTCTGCACTATCTGCCCTCAAGACCTTGGTTTGCTCATACGGGGTTCTGGAATGGCAGCCTGGAACATGGGCATTTGTCTCTCCCTCCGCCCTGCCAGGCTCTTGGAACACTGCCGGAAACATAAATACCTGTCCAGCTCTGGGGAAGTGTTTGCGTTACTGGTCAGCAGCCTCTTAGAGCATCTGCTGGACTACAGGACCATCATCATGCATGACGAGAGCAAGGAGAACCGTATGAGCTGTACGGTTAACGTGCTGGTATGTGCCGTCCCTGGGACAGTGAGGGCGCTGGCAGGCTGCCCGGTGCCCACAGCTCAGTGCTATGTGGGTCGCACAGACACAGGGGCACCTTGACAGAGTCTGTGTTCTGCCGAGTCTAGTTGGCTCAGCTTTGGACTTGATGAACTTGGAAACAGGATAGAAAATGCCACATAAGCTCCTGATTTCATTCTGTTTTCCTGAAGGCTATACTCAGCCTGTTTGTTTTATAGACAGAGTGTCCATAAAGGGCAAAAGACACTATTTTAAATTGCACATGAACTTGATGGCCACCCTGTATCTACGCAGTTGGTTTATAGGACCAAGACAGAGATGCACCAGAAGCACTAGACCTTGAATAGAGAGTTAGCTTGTGAAGTCTTCATGGTGGCAGAAGTCTCTGCTCTTGCCTTTTTCAATGTCATTAACTGGGACCACAGACCTTGGCGTTTCGGGCTGGCTGTGTGTTCCTCAGCCGAGTATAACCCCTAAGGAGATAGTATCTACAGTGACTCGGGTCTGGTACCCACTCCCTTAAAGGTTTCTCACAGTCTTCAGAAGCACAGGCCCTAAAAAAATTACTCACCTTCTCTTCTTTATAGCCCACTGCTTCCTTTCTTGAGTGGGGTGTATGTTAGAGGAAAGCAATGAACAATTTGTCACTTAAAAAGCAATAATGGTGCTTCGGCTGTTTTTGTGGCAAGCCCGTCAGCGGCTTTTGATTTATGTTGGTGTTTTGTGATCTTTTTTTTCCCCCTATTTTTTCTGGCAGAATTTCTATAAAGAAAAGAAGAGAGAGGACATATATATAAGGTAAGCGGAAGGCAGTGGCTTGTTTTTTGCTGTGTATGTCATGGCTTCGTGGTTTAGTCTCTCTGTAAATAAATAGTGTGCCCCACGCCTTGCTCGTGGCTTTGGGAACCCCCTAAAGGTATTCAGTTTGCCCTCAAAGGATAAACTTTTTAGATAGTTACACAGTAAGTGCAATATAAAGGCATGCAGAGGGGGGTTGGGGGGAGGGATGGAAGACTTCTGGCCCAGGTGGTCAGGAGGGGCGGTGAAAACCTAACAAGGAGTCTCAGCGTGCAATCTGTGAATCCCTGCTTAGGAAACAAACGCTGGATCAGTTCGCAAGCGACAAAATGCTTTCTCCCTCCCTTACCAGGTATTTGTACAAGCTTCGAGATTTGCACTGCGAGTGTGAGAACTACACGGAAGCTGCCTGCACACTTCTCTTGCACGCTGAGCTTCTGCAGGTAATAAGCAGCAGGTCAGGGAGCTGTTTCCATAGGGAGGAAGGCCATAGGTAGCAAGGGGGGCCTTCAGTCCTTTGGGCTAAATTGTATCTGCCTCACGATTTTGATGAGAAAGAACCTTATTCCAGGGACATTCTTTTATCCAAGAATTTTTTTTTTTTTTTTTTTTTTTTTTTTTTTTTTTTTTTTTTTGAGACAAAGGCTCAAGCTGTCACCCTGGGTAGAGTGCTGTGGCATCACAGCTCACAGCAACCTCCAACTCCTGGGCTTAAGTGATTCTCTTGCCTCAACCTCCCAAGTAGCTGGGACCATAGGCACCCACCACAGCGCCTGGCTATTTTTTGGTTGTAGTTGTCATTGTTTGGCAGACCCAGGCTGGATTCGAACCCGCCAGCTCTGGTGTATGTGGCTGGCACCTTAGCCATTTGAGCTACAAGCGCTGAGCCAATCCAAGAATATTTTTATCTCTTCTAAATAGGCACAGCTGATATTCAGATCGTGATTGCGAAAACATTGGTTACCTTTTATTTACCAAAATCCTCAGATGCAAGGGAGAACTTACAGGACTCTTGTAATTGACATTCTAATGAAAGAAATAAAACATGGATTGATTAATATATAGAAAGACTTGTAAAACTGGACAGAGCTGAGTTATGAGTGAATCTAGTATCAAAGAAATTCTTTCCTCTTTCTATTCTCTCCTTCAGTAAAATCATGCGATGGCCTGGATGGAAACAGGTTTATACGTCATGAATCCCAAATAATTATTTCTAGCCCTGATCTCCTCCTCTAACTTGGGATTCGTATTTAAATGGTACTTTCAGCATCCATCCCTGAATGATTAATAGACAGCTCAAACTTGATTTGGTGACGGGCACCTTTGTTTCCTAGTCTTGCCGCTTCCCAACCTGTCATCCTGCCTTCCTTTTCTGTAATAATAACAAGCAATTGTTGAGAAATGATTATCAAGAACTGCTTATCAAAGTTTGCATTGTTGTCAGGCCCTGCCCTGCCCCATCCCCTGCCCCCAAGCCCCCTCCCCCATGTTGTCCCGCTTTACAAATGTTAAAATCTGGTCACCCTGTGTCAGGACAGCAATAGTCAGGTTAGTTAGCAGTCTCTCTTTGTTCCTGACGTCCATGGGGATGTGCGAGTATTTGCATGATACTTCCCTTCGCCCTTGCTTGTGCAAATGTACAGTTTTATGCTTAATAAATAGTCTAACATGGCTTGGCTCCCGTAGCACAGCGGTTATGGCGCCAGCCACATCCACCAAAATTGGCAGGTTCTAACCCAGCCCGGAGCCAGCTAAACAACAATGACAACTGCAACAAAGAATAGCCGGGCGTTGTGACGGGTGCCTATAGTCCCAGCTACTTGGGAGAGGCAAGAGAATCACTTAAGCCCAAGAGTTGGCGGTTGCTGTGAGCTGTGACGCCACAGCATTCTACTGAGGGCAACATAGTGAGACTCTGTCTCGAAATAAATAAATAAATAAAATAAAAATAAACAGTCTAATGTAAGATGGATTAGTCAACTACACATACAGATACTTTTTATCTTTTCTTTTTGCTGAATATTTGTTGCATGGATCTCTTGAATTTGTTCATTGCATTGGCATCTTCTGTTGCTTTTGTGTCTTTTTAGTGGTCCGACAAGCCCTGTGTGCCCCATTTGCTTCAGAGGGACAGTTACTACGTTTATACCCAGCAAGAGCTTAAAGAGAAGCTGTATCAAGAAATTATATCCTATTTTGACAAAGGCAAAGTGAGTACCGGGTTGTTTCTGTATCAGGGGAAAGAGGAAAACGATTGTAATTACTGCTGTGCAATTCTGATGCTGACCATGTGGAGTCAGTGCAGACTGCACAAGTGAAGGGCGCTTTCCCCAATAAGAATGCCCACACTTCAGATGCCAGCCACAGTTTTGGGGTGTCTCCAGACCATCTGCACTTCTGACAAACTGTCCATAAATTTCAGAGGTTCCCATGGCTCCCTCACTTTTGATAACTTGCTAAAACAAGTAACAGAGCACAATGAGTTGCTATATTTAGTGATTACAATTTTATTATAAAGGATACAGACTAGGACCAGCCGCATGAAGGGACGTACAGGGCACGGTCTCAGAGGATCCCAGACACAGAGCTTTGTATCTTCTCCCCAGGAACTTGGGACACATCCCCTTCCTGGCAGATTGATGGGTTCTCCTAGCAGGAGAACCTCTGGAGCCTTAGCATGCAGAGCTGTTATTGGGGTTTTTTTATGTAGACATGTTTTGATTGGCTCAGTGACTGTGTGATCACGTTCAATCTCCACCATACCCACCTTCCTAAAGGTGAGGCTGACATTGTATAGCTCAAGCCCTTAGCCCTGGTTGGTATTTCTGGCAGATCCAGCCCCCAGGAGCCCAGTCTGAGTCACCTTGTTAGCATTGATTTTGGGTTCAGTCTTGGGGACCCACCAGGAATAACACACATTCCAATTACTTGGGAAGTTCCAAAGTTTTAGACGCTCCCTCCTTAGAACTGAGGTCAAAGACAGATAAATTCTTTTTTATACAACTTGTAACTTACCCTTTATCATCCCCTGTGTGTCTTTGAATTCTGATATTTTCTTTTTTTTTTGAGACAGAGTCTTGCTATGTTGCCCTAGGTAGAGTGCTATGGCATCACAGCTCACAGCAACCTGAAACTCTTGGGCTTAAGTGATTCCCTTGCCTCAGCCTCCTAAGTAGCTGGGACTATAGGTGCCCGCCACAGTGCCCAGCTATTTTTTTGTTACAGTTGTCTAGCTGGCCAGAGCCGAGTTTGAACCCACCACCCTTGGTGTATGTGGCTGGCGCCATAACCACTGTACTATGGGCGCCAAGCCAGAATTCTGATATTTTCAGAACATGAATAAATTAAGGTATGAATGGTAAAAAAGATCATTCCTCTCAAGCAGACTGACCACAGTGCTGAGTACAATGGGCAGCCCAGAGTCCTCTATTTTTCCACAACCCTAACTTTGCCTTTTAATTACTGCTGGGCTCGGGAATTGGTCCCATCATCTTCTGTCCATTCTCAAGATAATATTGGGGAACGCACAATGCGCGCTCCACATCACCACCGCCTGGCAGCACAGGCTGCAGGTGACAACGGGCCCTGAGGCAAGATAAGCAATGTGACCTGTGCCAGGGAGTTGCCGAGTTGGTGGTCAACTGGAGAAAGCGTATCCAGTTGAAAGACCTTTTAAATTGAAAATGGAAAAAAGATACCTAGAGGAGGGTCAGTGCCTGTGGCTCAAAGGAGTAGAGCCCTGGCTCCATATGCCGGAGGTGGCGGGTTCAAACCCAGGCCCCGCCAAAAACTGCAAAAAAAAAAAAATAATAATAATAATAAATAAATAATTGGAAAAAAATAAGATACATAGAAGAGACTGGAAGAGAAGGAAAGCAAAACGGTTTTTGGTATCCAAACAAAATAGATCCTGGATTCAACCAGTTTCAGGTGCCTAGACGGTTTATATGGACTTGTCCACTTCCAGCCACCACATTGGTTTTATCAGTGGTACCGTTAGTAAAACTTCTAAATAAACAAATAATCTAAAAAGATCATCAAGATAAAATTGCCATTGTCTATTTAGTGCTGAACTGTTTGGGACGGGCTTTAGGCTTTTCCTCTAATTCAGCGGTTCTCAACCTGTGGGTCGCGACCCCTTTGTAACAATGAAAATACATCCTGCCTATCAGATATTTACATTATGATTCTTAACAGTAGCAAAATTACAGTTATGAGGTAGCAACGAAAATAATTTTATGGTTGGGGGTCACCACAACGGGAGGAACTGTATTAAAGGGTTGCGGCATTAGGAGGCATTAGGAAGGTTGAGAACCACTGCTCTGATTTAGTTCTTCTTACATCACTCTTTAAGGTAGGTACTATGTCTGTTTTACAGGTAAGGAGCATGAGACCCAGACAGCAAATAAAGCTCAGACTTTTAAGGTCTTTGCAAACTTTAACCCTCTTAAAAAATAATTAAGGACCCCCAAACACTTTTGTCCATATAGGTTGTATCTATTCGTATTTATACTCTGAGAAATTAAAGCAGAAAAATTTGTTCTTTCAACAACAACAATAAGCCTGTGATATGGTCAGTCCCCAAGTTACAAGCATCCACCTGATATACAACTTACACTTAGAAATGGAGGCTCGGCTCAGCACCTGTGGCTCAAGTGGCTAAGACACCAGCCACATACACTTAAGGTGGCAGGTTCGAGTCCAGCCCAGGCCCGCCAAACAACAATGACAGCTGCAACCAAAAAAAATAGCCGGGCACTGTGGCGGGCGCCTGTGGTCCCAGCTACTTGGGAGGCAGAGGCAGGAAACT